CCCATGATGGAGGAGAGAAAGGGAAAAACCGGTGGTTATTCTCAGCGTTCTGGGGTGACTGACTGCCCACTCCATACTCTCCTGTCAAGGGCCCTGACCACGTCCTGGAGGTTCCGGAGACAGGACTGACCAGCCTGCCTGCCTGTGCATCCTTTGATTTATCTGTCTTTGCTCCCCACTGTGTATTTTCATCTTCTGCCTTCCTGTCTCTCTATCTCTGTGTTTTCTATTGTTCTATCCAGCGTTGGAAGCCCCCCCTCCCACCCCAACCCTCTTTTCTCCTGCTCTCCACCATTCCCAGTGCAGCCCCATTCTCAGGCCTCTGTTCCCCTTACCTCAGGCAACACCTCCCACGCTGGGTACCCGATGATGTGTGAAAGGCGGAGGCGGGTGGGGGAGGGAAAAGGGCAGAGTAGGGCTCCCAGTGGCCCGCCTTTCTCCAATGATAAGGGTGGTGGTTTTGGATGGGGAGCCCAGGTTGTTGCCTGCATGGCTCTGAAGGGCTCTCTCAGACCGGGGTCCCCTGGTCTGCTGGTTGTGGCCTCTGGAGGGCCCCTTGATGGGTGATTGAAGCTTTGGCTCTCTGAGAGCCCCATCTCCTGAGACAGATCAGTCCCAGCTGCATCCCGTGAAGCAGCTCTGTGTCCACAGGGGTGGAAGGGACCCTCAGATGTCTCTAGAACCTTCCTGTAACTGAGATGGAACCCAAGTGCCATTTTGGGAATGAATTCATGATACATGGACACAGCCCCTGGTTGTAGCCTGCTGGTCGGCAGGGCCTTTCCTGGCTTGGGCGTCAAGCTTGGCAGGTCTTTCACAAGCCCCTAGAGCAGCGGTTCTCAACCTTCCTAATGCCACGACCCTTTAACACAGTTCCTCATGTTGTGGTGACCCCCAATTTCATTGTTACAAATTGAACACAATTAAAGCATAGTGATTAATCAAAAAAACAATATGTAATTATATATGTGTTTTCCGATGGTCTTAGGCGACCCCTGTGAAAGGGTCGTTCGACCCCCAAAGGGGTCGCGACCCACAGGTTGAGAACCGCTGCCCTAGAGCTTTATGACTCCGAGGAGACAGCCTTCCATGCGACTCAGACCGAGCTTTTCCCGGGAAAGACTGACATCTCCCCTTTCATCCCCATCAGCGTTCTGATCACTCACTGTCCCTTGCTTGTGCTTTAGGCGTGAGGTCCCCTTCCAGGTTGGCTGCTCTCCACCCTCCTTTGCCCACCTCTCGACTTTGGGGACCCTGGGAGCTGTTTATCCCACACTCTCACCTCCGACCGCCGCCCCCCCACTCCCCGCCCCGCCTGCCCCGGAAGGAAGGCAGCAGACGGGTGGGGTTGTAGTCAGAAGCTAGAGAATCATTAACTGAGATGAAAGTGGCAGTTACGTATTTTTTAGGGGAGACAATACCTGGGGGGCTGGGGGTTCGCAGTGGTCCCTCAACTGCAGGAGGCCAGGCCATGGCGATAACAGTTACCACGCACTGAGCACCCACTTTGTGTCGAGCTCTTTAGACTTATTAGCTCAACAATGACAATGATCATCCCTCACAACATAGACATTGTCTGCATTTGACAGACAAGGGGCTCAGAGAGGTTGAGATCCTGGCCTACGATGACCTAGCTGGCAGGTGGGTCACTGGCTTCAGTGTTGGTGGTCTGGATCCAAAATGCATCTTTTCTCTTAGCTGGTCCACTCGTTCAGTCAGCAAGTCTCTGTGGAACACTTGCTATGGGTCAGGCTGTGCCAGGAGCTGAGGACACCGCAGCAAACAGCTTTAAAAATCCCTTTTCACAGGGAGCTTTCATTTCAGCGGCACCACCTTTCCTAGACGGACTTTCTCAGGAAGGACTCGGGTGGCAAACAGCCTGAAGTTCCGCTCTCCCTGTGCCCCTGCCAGCCCGGAGTGTGGGCGGGGTATGGGTCCACCCCAATGCCACCAGCAAATTGCGATTCATTAACCCTCTGTGTGCCTCTCTGTCACTCTGTGCCTCTCTCTCTGTCATCCCACTGGCAGCACCTGGGAGCTCCTTAGAGATGCAGAATCTCACACCCCCATCCCCAACCTATGGGACCAGAACCTGAATTTTAACAAGATCCCTAGGTGGGCCTGGCTGGTGTGACTCAGTGGTTGAGCATCGACCTATGAACCATGTCGGTTCGATTCCTGGTCAGGGCACATGGCCGGGTTGCAGGCTTGATCCCCACCCCACTAAGGGGCGTGCAGGAGGCAGCCCACTGATGTTTCTCTCTCATCAATGTTTCTATCTCTCTATCCCTCTCCCTTTCTCTCTCTCTAAAAAAAAATCAATAAACATATTTTTTAAAAAAAGGTCCCTAGGTGGTTCATGTGCACATTATAGTTTGAGGGGCTCTGGTTAAGGTTCCCTTCTCTAACCTTCTGCCATTTTAGTAGCCTCTGGCTGGGGCAGGGCACTCACCAGCAGAGGGCACTGTAGGGAGGGCAGGGAGGGCGTTCTCCTGCACCAGAGGTTGTGCCTCTACCCAGGTTATCTCCTCTCTGTCCCCTCCCATCCAGACCTAACTGGCAAGTCCCCTGACTTCTCGGATCCTCGGCTACTCCCTGACCTCGGCTGGACTTTGCCAACAGACAGGGACGGGCCCCCCGCCCACTCCAAAGGGGGGTGGCTGGGAGGCAGGTCTCTGCCGGGAAGCACGGGGCCACTCCTGCCTGATTCCCCGCCCACCACACTGTCTGCTGGCGTGGTGACAGGGTCTGGCTGACCGCTCTTTTTCTCAGAGAAGAAACTACGGTTCCCAGATACGCTGGCAGCCTCTGGGAGCACCTGCCTGCTAAGGTGAGCACCCCGCTGGGGCAGCTGGGGTTGGGTGGGCATTTGGTGGGGCCCCTGAGGGCTCACGGGAAGACTCAGGCCAACTTAGCCAAGCCTGCAGAGTAGAGACCTTCTGCTGGAGGAGGCGAGGATGGAGGGGCGTGGGAGATGGCCACTGCCCGTGGGTGTGAGGACCACGGGGCTGATGCTATGCACTGTGGACAGGTGTGCTCTGCTGATGAATGCTGCCCAGGACTGAGGTTTGGACCCATCCATGTTGGAACTTTTTATGTCCTTCAATCACCGGGATCTATCAGGGTTGAGTGGGTGTGGTAAGAACCAGTGCCTGCGAGAGGGGCTGAGAGTTTCCTCAGCTTTGCAGCAGGCGCCTGGATCTTTGCGCGGGAGGAGTGACTCCCTAGGGACAGGCCATGGTAGCATTCCAGGACCTTCGTTCTGGGGAACTGGGTCTGGGGCAAGACACTGGAGGCGAGGGTGGTAAGGAGTCAGGCGCGGGGCTGGGAAGCTCCAGTCTCCATCGAGCTGGTTGCTGTGCTGTCCGTTCAGGACCCTCCTGGGGAAGGAGGGTGGAGAGGGCCGAGGCCTGGAGACAGCTGTCAGCCTGGGAGACGGGGGCTGAGCTGGGGAGGAGTTCACCCGCTCCAGGCCAGGCAGTGAATGGGATCCAGGTGGGCAGCCCTGGGGGCTTCGGGGGTCAGTACATACCGACTGCTCCAGGTGGGGAGGCCGGGCAAGGGGCTCTGCTGAGCCACAGTGGGGTGGAGAGGACTTGGACTCTGGTCTTTGGAGGCCCCAGGAAAGTGGTTGCTATAAAACAGCAGAGCCTCGCCCTTCTTCCACTCTGGCTGGCCCAGCCCCGGCCACTGGTACCTCGATGGGCAGGGGTGGGGGTGCGGAACCGAGGATGTGCCTTTAGCTCCTTCTGTTAGTTGTACTTTATTCTCATTTCTTTCTCTTCCAACGTCATCTCTGCTAGAAATGGAAAAGAGGCCTGGGAACCACAAGGGGCAGGAAGAGAAAGGGAGTGTTTCTAGAATTCCTGTCCTCCCTCCTCATCCTCCCTCTGCCTCCAGTTGTGGCTCAATAATCTCCCCTCGTCCTCTCTGTGGGGAGAGAAGTTGGCTTCCTTATCTGTGAAATGGAAATAAAAATAACAGTAGCTCAAAAGGCCGCAGACGAGAGAGGCCACGTAGAGCGCTTTAACGCCATGTGCAGAGCAAAGCCCTTATAATAATTGCAGTTATAATTTCAATTACAGTGGGGCCTTGATTTACGAGTGTCCCGACTAACGAGTTTTTTGAGATACCAGCTGTCTCTCCACCCGATTTTTTGCATTGAGTTGACAGAGTAATTTGAGTTAACGAGCTCCTTAACGAGCTCCTTTACAAGCTCGGTCTCGGAACAAATTAAACTCGTAAGTCAAGGCCCCACTGTACCTCTAATGTGGAGGATCCCAAAGGCATGGGTGGGACGTCACGGGAAACTTGCTGCCTGGCCCCATTCCCACAGGCCTGGGTATTGCCAGCTCACCTGCTCCACTTGTGTGCCCTGCGGGAGGCCTGCAGCACTGTCTGCACAGCTGGGGCCTCAGAGGGAACAGCGCCCCACCCTCCCTCCCTGTCTACAGTCTCAAGGAGGACACAGGGAGACAGACCCATCCAGTCCTCAATCCTCAGGATAGAGGAGCTTCCGCCCCAGTCTTGGAGGAGCTAGGAAGGGGGCTTAGGCTCTATGGGCGCCGTGGAAGGAAGGAAGCAGGTGGGCAGTGAAGGAGCAGAGTCTGGGGCGAGGCCTCAGCTCCCCGTGGCTGGTTTGAGTGAAGGGAGTGGGGAGAAATGGAGGCCAGACCCTAGTGAATCAACTGTGGAGTGAATGAGTCCTATTCCCCCAGAAGGTGCCTGAGAGCCAAATACGAAGCCATCTTTGGCAAGACAACTTCTCTCAGTGCCTGGTACACAGCTGGTCCTCAGAAATGTTCATCTGAGTGGGGAAAACAGTAGAGGGAGATTTTGGAGGCACAAGACTATGTAGGGCCGATGAGCTGGAGGAGGGGAGGGGTCCAGGTGGGAAGAAGAGGCAGGTGGGGAGCACAGGTGAGGGGTGAAAGACAACAGCATGAGCAAAAGCCAGAGGCGAGAATGAACGAGGTGTGAGGAGCTCAGTCTGGCTGGAATGGAGAATGTTGGAAATCGAGGAGGAAGAGGGAAGGGAGGATGGGGAGGCACCGTTTCTGGGGGGCCTCGGAACGGCGGGTGTCTGTGCAGGAGGTGCTGGAAGGCGGTCCCAGTCCAAGGCCCTGCTGCTGGTGTAGCCGGGCAGCCGGGTGAGCCGGGGGTCAGTACAGGCTTCAGCCCCACCTCATTCCAGCCTCCCTGGAGGCCCCACCTGTGTTTTTCTTTCTCTTTTTGTTTTCACTTTTAATTTTTGTTACTCCTGCGAGCTCCCTTCCGACCTTTCAGGCAGAAGGAGGGGCATAAATAAACAAGCATGTTTGGATAGCGCTTTATCACCTAGGAATGCTTTCCATGTGAGCTCAGGCCAGCCTCACGATCACTCTGAGAGGTGATTTCCCCCACTTGTAACGGCTTTTAAAAAGAACTGAAAAGTTAATAGGAAATCCATGCCTGGTGTGAAAAACTCAGAGGAGACTGGAAAAAGAGTTTAAAAAAATGGAAAGTCCTAGTTCACACCTTCCACCCCTCAATTTCGCCTCTTTCAGTGACGGCCAGGGAAAGGCTGGGGTGTACCCTCCCAGACCTGCACGTCCAAGACAAGAGTCACCAGCACATGCGGCTGGCGACTGAGCACTGGACCCAGAGCAAGTCCCGAGGTGATGTGCAGCGGGTGTAAGGAACACAGACCGACTGGGAAGGAAGGATGTGAACTGTCGCCCTAATAATTTTACATCGATTACCTGCCAGCATGATACTATTTTGAATATAGTGGGTAAGATGAAATCTATTATTAAAATTAATTTCTCCTGTTTCTTTGCACTCTCTTACTGTGGCCACTAGAAAGTTTGAAATGATATACGTGGCTCACATTATGTTTTTATTGCACAGCTCTGCTCCAGACCTTTGGCTACAATTCATACCCGGGCTTGGCAAAAGGCGGTATACAGCTGTGAGTACGCAAAAGAGTTCGTTCTTGTATTATTTATTTATTCGTTACTTGCATTATGCAAACCTACTTTTGCCCACTCCTGTATACACACCCATAAATATGTATCTATACTTCTGTATAGTTTTGTTATTTACATGAATGAAATCAAAGGATGTCTACTCCTGGTGAATTGCTTTTCTACATACAGATTTTTTTTTTTCTATATCAGCACGTGTAGATCAAGGTAGGTACTCTGACAGGTGAGGAAACTGAGGCACGCTAAGCAATATGACAAGCGCACTCAGCCAGTGACCAGGGTGCATTTGAACTCACATGCTCTGAAGACCAGCTCTCTCTGCCTCAGGGGAGTTTAGTTTGAGGTTTAGGTCACAAGGAGCTGCTGTGGGCTCTTGAGTAAGAGAGATGGTGACGTTCTGTTACAGCAGTGATTCTCAACCTTCCTAATGCCGCGACCCTTTAATACAGTTCCTCATGTGGTGGTGACCCCCAACCATAAAATTATTTTCGTTGCTACTTCATAACTGTAATGTTGCTACTGTTATGAATCATAATGTAAATATCTGATATGCAGGATATATTTTCATTGTTACAAATTGAACATAATTAAAGCATAGTGCTTAATCACAAAAACAATATGTAATTATAGATGTGTTTTCCGATGGTCTTAGGCGACCCCTGTGAAAGGGTCGTTTGACCCCCCAAAGGGGTCGCGACCCACAGGTTGAGAACCGCTGTGTTACAGGAACTGCCGTGACTGAGGTGTGCGGGCTGCGCTGGAATATAGACAGTTTGCTCTATCATCGCAGGCGTTTGGACGCCAAGTCTTGGCCTCTGCGACATTGAAAAGGGTTAGCTTGGCACTGACTTCTTTAACCCCCTGCCCTTGGCCTTGGTTGTTACAGGGGTGCAGGGGAGCTGGCAGCATCCAGTGACCAGGCAGATGAGCTCCCATGAGAATTCCTTCCAACCTGCCCAGTTCCTGCTGCTGGTGGGCGTCCCGGTGGCAAGTGCCTTCCTTCTGGTCCAGTGCCTGCGATGGCACTGTCCTCGCTGGCTGCGGGCCGGCCGGAAGCCGGACAGGCAAGAGGAGCCAGTGCCCGATCCCACTCCCCTACCCGAAGATGAGTCCCCACACCAGTACCCACCGGCCGTCCTGTCGGAGATGGCCGCCTTCTACCAGGAACTGCACACGCCCACCCAGGGCCAGACCGTCACCCGTCAGCTGATGCACAAGCTGCTGGTGTTTTCGGCTCGAGAGGTGGATCACCGCGGCGGCTGCCTGATACTGCGGGACACGGGCATCTCGCTGCTCATCCCGCCAGGTAACAGCGCGAGCTCACTTTTCAGCGTGGAGCTGTTCAGACTGCGTGCGGCACAGGGTACCGCATCGAAGGGAACAGTCAGACACCTTCCTACTTTGGAAAATTCTTTACATTTAAAAAATATATTTTTATCAATATCAGAGAGGAAGAGAGGAGAGAGATAGAAACATCAATGATGAGAGAGAATCATTGATTGGCTGCCTCCTGCACACCCCACAATGGGGATCGAGCCCACAACCCGGACATGTGTCCTGACCAGGAATTGAACTGTGCATAGGTTGATGCTCAACCACTGAGCCATGCTGAAAATTGTTCACATTTTGAGTATGACTTTATTGACCTCAAAGACAACTTCCCGGCAGATGGGATTAAGGTGCTTGCTCTAATGAACAGGCCTCCAGTAAAGGGAACGGAAAGTGGAGGAAGACCTCTTCTCGCACATTCACTCAGGCCCTGTATGGGCCAGCGGCGGCCCTGCACGGAAGGCAGGTGACTGGCCCAGGATTACACCACACGTCAGCTCACAGTTGTCTTGTCTCCATCTGTACTGTCTTCCATGTGGGCACCTGGACTCCCATCCCACCTCCCCTCCCAGGCTGGCCTGGCCTCCCCTGGGGCAGGGTGTGCCTGCTTATCCATTTGTCCAGCCCATCCCAGCTCTCCGTCTCCCCAGGTGCTGTGGCCGTGGGCCGCCAGGAGCGAGTGTCACTGATCCTGGTGTGGGACCTGTCGGATGGCCCGCCATTGTCCCGAGCCCAGGCGCTGGTGAGCCCTGTGGTGGCGTGTGGACCCCATGGGACCTCCTTCCTGAAGCCCTGCACCCTCACCTTCAAGCACTGCGCGCAGATGCCCAGCCACGCCCGCACCTACAGCAGCAACACCAACCTGCTCGACGATAAAGACTGGAAGCCCCTGGGGAAGTCAGGGGTCCACACCTCCCTGGATGAGTGTCGCATCCAGCTCTCCCATTTCAGGTGGGCACCAGCCCTCGGCCTCTCTTTTCTGCCCCCCTTTTCTGCCCACCCATCTTCATCTCTGCCCCTTTATCTGTCCCAGGTGGCCTGCAAATCCCTTATTTCCCCGTGTCCCTTCTCGGTCCCTCTGTCGTAATGTGTAGGACAGCTCGTGTCACTCCAACCCTGTCCAGGACTGCACACCCTCCATGGTCTCTCTGCCTGTTTAGGAGGCCTGACTTCACCCCAGCCCTCTTTCTGGAGGGGCCCTGTCCCATCCCCACCTTTGTCTCTCTAAGATTGTCTATACCCTGTGCCCCTGTTCAGGGCTGTCCCCCAACTGCCTAGGGCACGTTTGTCCCCTCTGATGCCCTAAGACACCAGCCCATCTCTTGTCTGTCCTTAGTTCTGTCTTTCTTTCCTTCTTTTGGTTAATCCTCACCCGAGGTTTTCTATTGATTTTTTTGAGAGAGTGGAAGGGAGTGGGAGAGACAGAGAGAGAAACATCTATGTGAGAGAGATACATCTATTGGTTGCCTCCTGAATGTGCTCTGACCAGGGCCAGGGATCTAGGCTGCAACTGAGGCACATGCCTTTGATGGGAATTGAACCCAGGATCCTTCAGTCAGCAGGCTAATGCTCTAACCACTGAGCAATCGGCTAGGGCAGCTCTGTCTTTCTAGGATCTTAGACCCTTCTTCCTCTCCTTCTCCTTGTGACCCATTAACCAGAGTGGGACCAGCCATCTGTGGGCCCTTTTAAAGCCTAGTGGCCCTGAGCCCGCCGTCCCACTGTCCTATGCTGAGATGTTTGCGGGCTCTTCTCCACACTCTGTGATGGTCACTGCACGTGACTCACTTTTCGTCCCCCTACCAACTCTGCCTGCCCACGTCCTCCCTATGCACAACCCGGCCTGCTCTCTCGGCTCTGTGGAGGCCCCCACGGAGGCCTCTGGCACAGCAGGAGCTGGGTGGCCAGTGCGCTACACCAGTCCCTGCCACCGTCTCCCTCTATTCCGCAGCCTCTACACGTGTGTGCTGGAGGCTCCCTCGGGCCAGGAAGCTCGCAAGTGGCTGCAACTGGCAGTGTTCTGCTCGCCGCTGGCACCGGGGCAGACCCACCTGCAGCTGCGCGTCTACTTCCTCAACAACACGCCCTGCGCCCTGCAGTGGGCCCTGACCAACGAGCAGCCCCACGGCGGGCGCCTGCGCGGGCCCTGCCAGCTCTTCGACTTCACTGGGGCCCGAGGGGACCAGTGCCTAAAGCTCAAGTACATCTCTGAGGGTGAGCGAGGCCTGGACAGGGCAGGAGGGAGCCCCACTCGAGCGAGGTGTCTGTGCCTCCCCTGGGGTGGAAATGTGGGAGCCTCAGGTTCCTTTCAGAGACTCATGGGCAGGCTCCAGGGGGGCCCTCGGGCTTCTGCTGCTGCCTCGAGGAGTCCCCAGGCTCTGTCCACTTCCTTTGTCTGTGGCTCACTCAGCCCTGGTCCCTCTGTGGGAGGACAGGGTGATGCAGGGTGGGAGGAGGGGAGGAGAGGCCTGGCACCCCCAGGGGGGAAGAGGGCAGGAGGCTTTTATTGTTCCACCTGGATGGAGTGGTGTGGAGGGAGGTCCCAGTCTTCTCTGCTTGGGCCTCTTTCCCGTGTGGCCTGGGCTCTGGGAATTGCCCCTGGGACCTAGGGCATTTGCACGGGCACACATGCGTGGCTGCTTTGGGGGGTAGTGGATAAGAGGGTGGGGGTTACAAGACTGGGGGATCTGTGAGCTGTGTGTGGTGGTAGAAGGAAGACCACTCACAGGGTCCCTGCCCAGGCTCTGGGACTCCCACTCACTTGACTTGGCTGCTCCTGGTCCCTCACCACTGCACCCCGCACAGCGTCCGCCACACTGTGGAAGGCCCTGCTCTCTGAGGCCTCCGCTCTCTGTCCCCTCCCCAGGTTGGGAGAACGTGGATGACAGCAGTTGCCAGGTGGTTCCCCATCTCCACATCTGGCACGGGAAGTGCCCCTTCCGCTCCTTCTGCTTCCGGAAGAAAGCAGGTAGTCAGGCGCCGGGTTCACTTCCTGTCCTCCCCTCCCCTCCCCACTGGTCACCCTGGAGCTAAGGTGAGGAGCCACGCCGATCTTTGCAGAGAGAAAGATGGAGGGTCTTGCCCAGCTTCTTCAGATTTCCGAAGCCTCACTGTGGAGTCCCTTCAGGTCTTCTGCTCTCTCATGCCGGGCCTTTTCCTCTCTCACCTGCCCTGTCCTCTCCCTTTTGTAGCCAATGAGAACGAGGACTGCTCGGCACTAACCAATGAGATCATCGTCACCATGCACACCTTCCAGGATGTGAGTGGGAGCTGAGGGCAGCGGGAGGGCAGGGCCTGGGAGGAGTGCTGGGCAAAGTGGGAGAGAGCGACATATCCCACTCTCTCAAGGGAAGATGGGAAGAACTCAGGGTTGAGAGTCTTTGGGGAACCATGGTGGCTTCTTGGCGGAGAGCAGGCAGATACCCCTCAGGGGTATGAGTGGGGAAGGAACCCAGGAAAGTGGGGGGGGGGTGGAGGGAAGGGGACATATATGGCTGAGTTCAGCGTCTCTATTTCTGGATGAACCTGCCCAGAACTTCTGGTGTCTAAGGATGCACCCTGCTTGGTCTTCGAGTCCCAGGTCCCAAAGAGCTCAGCAGGAAAACTTAAGGCTGAAGGTTCTGGGGTCAGGGAAGCAGCGGATGGGGGCCCTGGGTGGGGGAGGGCGGCATCTCCTGGTAACATGGCTCTGAGTGTCAGGCTGGAGGACGACATGAGAAATGGAGGTGGGTTCCCCAGCTTCTTGGTCCCTAAGTGTGTTTCTGGCCCCTCTGCTGGCGCAGGGCTTGGAGACCAAGTACATGGAAATCCTCAGGTTTCAGGCATCAGAGGAGGAGTCCTGGGCAGCGCCACCCCCTGTCTCCCAGCTGCCCCCATGCAATAGGTGAGGTGGGCTGCTTGGGTTGTTGCCTGGGGGATGTTCGGGATTCACCCCAGCGCCTCTAGGGGAGTACGGCACTTGGGGTGAGTAGAACCAGACTGGGTCTCTGGTCCTCCCCTCTGAGAATACCCTTTCCCCCCGCCCGGCCTCAGGCTGCCCCCTGAGCTCTTTGAGCAGCTGAAGATGTTGTTGGAGCCGAACAGCATCACAGGCAACGACTGGCGGAGACTGGCCTCCCACCTGGGGCTCTGTGGCATGAAGATCCGGTAAGAGGGGCAAGATCTGCCCATGGGAGAGGGGGGTTTCAGACCACAGAGAAGGGAGAGAATGGCTACTCCCACCCTATCGCCCATAAAAGGGGCAGCTCTTTCTATCTGTCACGGTATTGTCAGTACCCAGAATGATGCCGGGCTCCAAGTAGGTCCCCAATAAATACTAAAAAATGAATCAACTAACATGTAAGTTACATATTGAGTGCTTGACATACTGTGCCCCGAGGGATAGAAGGGCGGACTACAAGAGAATGCGTGTAAAGCATGTACTGAGCGCCTGGCACGTGTTAATGGATGTTGGCAATGATGGAGGCAATGCTGGCATGGTCCCTGTCCAGAGACCAGTGGGAGAACAAGTCTGAGCTAAGCCCCGGGACCCAGACTCTGAGAGCAGTGCTCAGGGAAGACTTCATTCGCCCAGGAGGAGCTCAGCCGCTCAGCATCCGGCCACGCTCCAGGCCTGCTCAAGGTGAGGAGCCACGCCGATCTTTGCAGAGAGAAAGATGGAGGGTCTTGCCCAGCTTCTTCAGATTTCCGAAGCCTCACTGTGGAGTCCCTTCAGGTCTTCTGCTCTCTCATGCCGGGCCTTTTCCTCTCTCACCTGCCCTGTCCTCTCCCTTTTGTAGCCAATGAGAACGAGGACTGCTCGGCACTAACCAATGAGATCATCGTCACCATGCACACCTTCCAGGATGTGAGTGGGAGCTGAGGGCAGCGGGAGGGCAGGGCCTGGGAGGAGTGCTGGGCAAAGTGGGAGAGAGCGACATATCCCACTCTCTCAAGGGAAGATGGGAAGAACTCAGGGTTGAGAGTCTTTGGGGAACCATGGTGGCTTCTTGGCGGAGAGCAGGCAGATACCCCTCAGGGGTATGAGTGGGGAAGGAACCCAGGAAAGGGGGGGGGGGGGTGGAGGGAAGGGGACATATATGGCTGAGTTCAGCGTCTCTATTTCTGGATGAACCTGCCCAGAACTTCTGGTGTCTAAGGATGCACCCTGCTTGGTCTTCGAGTCCCAGGTCCCAAAGAGCTCAGCAGGAAAACTTAAGGCTGAAGGTTCTGGGGTCAGGGAAGCAGCGGATGGGGGCCCTGGGTGGGGGAGGGCGGCATCTCCTGGTAACATGGCTCTGAGTGTCAGGCTGGAGGACGACATGAGAAATGGAGGTGGGTTCCCCAGCTTCTTGGTCCCTAAGTGTGTTTCTGGCCCCTCTGCTGGCGCAGGGCTTGGAGACCAAGTACATGGAAATCCTCAGGTTTCAGGCATCAGAGGAGGAGTCCTGGGCAGCGCCACCCCCTGTCTCCCAGCTGCCCCCATGCAATAGGTGAGGTGGGCTGCTTGGGTTGTTGCCTGGGGGATGTTCGGGATTCACCCCAGCGCCTCTAGGGGAGTACGGCACTTGGGGTGAGTAGAACCAGACTGGGTCTCTGGTCCTCCCCTCTGAGAATACCCTTTCCCCCCGCCCGGCCTCAGGCTGCCCCCTGAGCTCTTTGAGCAGCTGAAGATGTTGTTGGAGCCGAACAGCATCACAGGCAACGACTGGCGGAGACTGGCCTCCCACCTGGGGCTCTGTGGCATGAAGATCCGGTAAGAGGGGCAAGATCTGCCCATGGGAGAGGGGGGTTTCAGACCACAGAGAAGGGAGAGAATGGCTACTCCCACCCTATCGCCCATAAAAGGGGCAGCTCTTTCTATCTGTCACGGTATTGTCAGTACCCAGAATGATGCCGGGCTCCAAGTAGGTCCCCAATAAATACTAAAAAATGAATCAACTAACATGTAAGTTACATATTGAGTGCTTGACATACTGTGCCCCGAGGGATAGAAGGGCGGACTACAAGAGAATGCGTGTAAAGCATGTACTGAGCGCCTGGCACGTGTTAATGGATGTTGGCAATGATGGAGGCAATGCTGGCATGGTCCCTGTCCAGAGACCAGTGGGAGAACAAGTCTGAGCTAAGCCCCGGGACCCAGACTCTGAGAGCAGTGCTCAGGGAAGACTTCATTCGCCCAGGAGATGGGACTGGAGTTGGGCCCAGCTGAAGACAGGGTGGATTTTTAAATCACTCAGTTATTAAACATTTATCCAGGACCTACTATGTCCTGGAAAACTACACTCAGCTTTGGGACACAAGATGACTGGTCCCAGCCCCAGGAGCTCACAGTCTAATAAGGGATACAAAGAGCTTAACAAAATAAAGGCGTGTTCCTTGTGCCTTACTGCATGGATCCTACATTGCAGAGCAAGTTGAAAACAGATAGAGGCACCGAATAGCTAAAGCAAGAATCATAACGACTTGCAAAAGTTATGATCAGAAGTCTGAACTGTGGGGTGCAGAATGGTCTCCTTGCCCACAGCTTCAGGGAGGTGGGAAGGGGGACCCGCCATTCTGTTTGGGGGGAGCAGCAAGGGGTGTGGGTGGGCTGTGTGCACAGTGGTAAATGGATAGCCTGAAGAAGGAAGGCTCAGGATGGGAGCAGGAAGGAAAGTTCCAGAAAAAACAACAACCCCAAACAAACCACAAAACAAAACAGGGTGAGGCCAACTGGTGGATGAGCCAGAAAGTCAGGGATGTGGGCTCGGTTAATAGGCAGAAGAGACTCTGGAAGGTTTCTGAGCAGGAACCACTGTTTCCCAAGTGGTGGGCAGGATGCTGTGGCCACGAGAGAGGAAGGAAGAGGGGAGAAGTGGGGAAGGGGAGGGGGGTGCAGAGAGGACAATAGTCCCCTTAGAGGTCCTCTCATCCAAGTCCTGGGTGTCAGAAGAGGAAACAGGCTTCAAGAGGAGTGACTTTTGAGCCAGGGCAAGCTCAGATTTCAAAGTCCTGGGCCCTCCCTCCCCCCACCTTGAGTCTCCTGGAAGGCAGGTAGGAGCCCGATAAGCAGCAGAGCTGGGGGAGGGTGTGGCTCTCACCGAGCGCCCCTCCCTCCTCTGCCCTCCTCCCCACGTCTGTGGCCAGGTTCCTGTCCTGCCAGCGCAGCCCTGCTGCGGCCATCCTGGAGCTGTTTGAGGAGCAGAACGGCAGCCTGCAGGAGCTGCACTACCTCATGACCCTCATGGAGCGGCTGGACTGCGCCTCCGCCATCCAGAACTACCTGGGCAGCCCAGCCCAGGTCCGCGTGGGCACCTGGGAGAACCAGGACCTGGAGCTGGAGCTGGACGTGAAGCTCTGAGTGCCCCCTGGGGCGGGGCAGGGTGGACACGGTCCGCAGTGCGGTTTGCCTGGACACCCTGGAAGAACATAGGTTCCTGGCTGTGCCCACCGACCTCATCAGAACCTTCAGACCATGTCTCAGGCCACTGTGAGGCTGGACTGCCCTTGCCAGCCTCCCAGGGTCTGGACCACCTTGAGACTGGCTTTGTTCTGCCTGCAGATCCCCTCCTGGGCGGCAGGGGGCACAGGAGCCCAGGAGATGGACCCACATGGTAGGCCTCTGAGAAGCTATTTCATAGACCAACAGACTGTTAGGTTGCAGTGCTGGCACCCCTTGGAGATTGGTCAGTCCACAGTATTCACTGAGCACTTGGTGGTACCCAGCATTGGACTGGGCATCATGCGGAATCCTGGAATATTTGGGGGAATTTGGAGTCTTGACAAGCACACAGTTCTCCTGTGGGAGTCAAGATGTACTCATATGAGCTGAGGGCAAACTCTAAAACAACGGGTAAGGGTGGGCAAATGTAGGTCTGTAGTTGTGAGTACGGGAAACAGAGTTTATTCTTGTATCATTATTTATTAATTATTGTATTATTGTCCATACAAACAACTGTAAACCGACTTTTACCCACCCTGCATCTCCTGCGGTTGGGGATGTGAGTGTGGTGTGAACTGTATGCTTCAGGAGTTGAGGAGAGAGGGAGCTAAGTATAGGCTGGCGCAGGGAGGATGTTGGAGAGAGACTTGAATATGCAGAGTGGTTCGGAGATGCTTAGGTAGGGGTAGGGGTCGGGGGTGACTGAAGAGGAGGAGCCAGGAGTGAGCATGGCCTGCTGAGGCATTAGGCAGCCTGGCCTCATGTGTGGGAGGTGAGGGTCCATAGAGGTTGAAGGCCAGATCTACAGGTGGGCAGTGCTACCTGGCTGTCTACCTGTCTCCTTTGCCTTCCTTTGTCTTCTTATACACACCTTATCTCTCTCCCTCTGCCATTACGTCTGTTATAAAACATCAAAGCTGAAAAGAAACTTCAAGATTATCATTCTTGCCCAACCTTTTTATCTCTTTATTTCAAACTGTGTGAGCATTAAATGACTTCATTTTGCGGTCACTATCCATCCCTGAATCTGGCTCTCTGTTACTCTGTGCATTAACATTTTTTTGTCTCTACTTCATTGCTGTGCCTGCCTTTGTACGTTTCTTTCTCTGAAACCCTCAGTCATTCCCCTCAGGCAAGTGTCTCTAAACCAGTGTTATATATCAAAGGCTATTGAAAGACACTGGGCTATGCTAGGAATGGATGGGTGGGGATTTTACCTCATGAATCAAGACCCAGTTTAGGATCAGGAAATAAAGGACAAGGATTAAAGAACACCCCACCAGTCAAACAAATGTTTATTCAGTACCTACTATGTGTTAAGCACTATATAAGAAGAGATTAATAGCTGGGTTCCAAAAAGAGAACAAAGGGTTTGACTCTGGCAATTCTTTTGTTTGCAAACAGGTGTTAATTTTTTTAAGGGCAGGCGAACAATCTCTCTGGCAACACTAAACAATTTGCTTCTGTATTTAATTAAAAAACATTAAGCCTTTTTCTATGATGAACAATGTTGTGTAATAAAATATGAAAATTGCCTTTCTTTGTTACTAACTGTATTTTGCTCAGATTGATCCATTTGGTTGTGGGTTTGCATGGTTTTATTTGGTAAAATTATACCAACGGGGGCAGATTGGAGGAAGCATTTTGTAGATGGTGCTTCTAGTATGAAAGTTGTCTGGGTCCAGCATGGTAGATCAGGCCCTTTTCTTTTTTGTTAGAAGCAAGTGGGGCCCTTCCACCATCTCCCTCTTCCCTTAGCCCCACCCATCCTCTCCCAGCCTCCTCATTAGGCCTCCCACCCCTCCGGAGCCACTACTCCAGTCTCCCACCCTCCTCATTAGGCCTACCACCCCTCCTCTCCCACCCTCCTCATTAGGCCTACCACCCCTCCGGAGCCACTACTCCAGGTCGGTGCCTCGGCCTCCTTCCCTGGTACCTGGCTCAGGATCCGCCTGATAAGAACATCTTTCTCCTTTGGAATCCCCGCAGTTTCCCCCACTTTCCCCGATCATCTCTTCCTTGCTTTCCACACCAGCCAAAAGCATCTTTATTTTGTGTTCCTCCCTACCCTGGAACAAATCATTTTAAGAGTTTCAAGCCTTCTGGAAATGTGAACAGAGGCCAGGAGGGTTTCTGATGGGGTTAGTGCCTTCTGGCTCCTCCCTGCCTCATGGTCAGAATGGACTCAGGGGAGGCTTGGACATCTTGGGGTAGGCGGCAGGCTGCCTGATCCCTGTAGCGTGGGTCCTGCCTTTCCCAAGTCAAACCCAATTGGCATGTATTTGCTGGCGCCTAAAGCTGAGATGTTCTGGGAGTGTATGGAGACAGCGCTCAGCCCTGGCTGGAGCCCTAGTTAGAAAAGCTCTCATCTCTCTGGCCTCAGTCTATTTACCCTTAGAATGGAGCAACTATGTCCCAGGCTCTCCAAGTGTCTTCTTTTGATTCCATAGATGATGACCCAGGGGACATACCCTTGGGGATTTTCTTTGTGTATTGCCTTTATTTATTTATTTATTTATAATCTTCACCTGAAGATATTTCCCATTGATTTTTAGAGACAGTGGAAGAGAGAGGGAAAGACAGAGAGAAATATAGATGTGAGAGAAACACGATTAGTTGCCTCCTGCACACGCCCTGACCAGAGCCCAGGCCGGGGAGGAGTCTGCAACTGAGGTACATGCCCTTGACAGGAATTGAACCTGGGTCCCTTAGGTCTGCAGGTCAGTGCTCTATCCACTGAGCCAAACGGTTGAGGGCTGTATATTGGCTTTAAATAGAACATTGGTCACTGCCTGTGACCTTACCGCCAGCCAGCCCTTTCCTGGTAAGTCATCTGCCTGGTCCCTAAAAACACTAAATTTGTGACTTCTGCTTTTATGCATGATGTGGAAGCCCATGCCTAAATGTCTTCCAGTTAGGTTTAGAGCAGGGAGGGGAATGAGCAGGAGAGCTCAGGCCTCAATCTGTAGGGATAGACTCAGGGGTGGAGAATATCCGGCCCACGTAAGGCCCATGAATTCATTTGGTCTGACCCTGCCAAGGCATTAGGAGGGAGTTAATTAAATGTTTGACCAAATAGAGCAGGCTAACTTGTAAGTTGATAATTTTGTATGGCCTGTGAGTGATGTTATAAATATCCAAATGGCCCTGGGCAGAAAAAAGGTTCCCCACCCCGGGAGGCTCCTGTGCTCAGCGGAAACGTGTCCTCAGCACCTTGTCTGCCTGCTGAGTGACATGCATCCAGTGTCCAGATCCGTGTTGTCCAACAGAAATAGAATAAAAGCCACATATTTAATTCTATCTGATGTGGAAGCCCTTGCCTAAACGTCTTCCAGTTAGGTTTAGAGCTGGGAGGGGAATGAGCAGGAGAGCTCAGGCCTCGATCTGTAGGGATAGACTCAGGGGTGGGGAATATCCGGCCCACATAAGGCCCATGAAATCATTTGGTCTGACCCTGCCAAGGCATTAGGGATGAGTTAATTAAATGTTTAACCAAATAGAGCAGGCTAACTTGTAAGTTGATAATTTTGTATGGCCTGTGAGTGATGTTATAAATATCCAAATGGCCTTAAGCAGAAAAAAGGTTCCCCACCCCAGGAGGCTCCTGTGCTCAGCGGAAACATGTCCTCAGCACCCTGTCTGCCTGCTGAGTGACATGCATGCCAATGTCCAGATCCATGTTGTTCAACAGAAATAGAATAAAAGCCACATATTTAATTCTATATTTTCTAGTGTCACATCAAAAAGTGTAAAGAGAAACAGGTAAAGTCAGTTTTGTTTTTTACAAATCATTCATGTTTATTTTTTGTGAAGTCAGTTTTAATAATATATTTTATTTAATCTAATATATCCAGACTATTATAATTCCTACATGTAATCAATATAAAATTAGTGGCATATTTTACATTTTTTTTCATAAAGTATTTGGAATTTGTGAGTATTTTACAATTACAGCACATCTCAATTTGTATTGAAAATGTGCTAAACTTATATTGGAAATATTTGATCTGTATTTAGCTTTCATAAAACTTACAGCAGAAAAAGTACATTTACATACAAAAGTTAAGCTAAAAATGTTTCAAAAATAAAATTAGGTATACATTTTAAAATTTCAACCAGTTGAAATAAAATAAAATAAACATGCTGTTCTTCAATTGTACTAGCGACATTTCAAGTGCTCAGTAGCTCTATGGCTAGTGGGTACTGTAATGGACAGCGCAGGTGTAGATTATGGATCCCGCTGGGCATAATTTATAGTGTGCTTGACCATTCATTCATCCATCCATCCAATATTTGCTGACTACCCACCCTGCACAAAGTGTTGGTGATAAGAGTTCAATGAAGAAAAGCACCCCTGTTCTGTAGGAGCTCCTGGGATGGTGGCCATCAGAGAGAAGGGCACTTTTCCTCCATCCCTCTCCACACCTGACTCAAGGAGGACATGGATGAGGTCCAGGCAGACCCTCTCTGCTGCAGGAATGGCTCACTGCAGTGGGATGGAGAGGCTAAGGATTGGGTCAGGTGTTCCTGGTTCACCCAGCACATCAGGTGGGTTCTTGGTTGCTGACAACACAATTCACTCTTACTGGCTGAGGCAGTCGGGAGACTTGACTCTGAAGGATGAATATTAATTTGGAAGGCTGAGAAATAAAGTTGAGGTAAAGTTTCCAGCAATGATGCCCTCAACTGTGCTGGACAACTAGCCCAAGGGAAAGAAACTGGTGTTACTATGGCTGCCACTTCCAGGTTGGGAACCAGACCTCACCGCCACCTCTGAAAGCTAAGGTCTCTGCTGCCATCCATGTCAGCAAACATGGGAACTCCAAGCACTGTACTGCCTGCTTCTTCACTCTATCCATTTCTGAGTCGATCTCAAGTATGGGCATGAGATTGTCAGTACCCTGATTGCATGCCAAATCCTAGCTGCAAAGGAGTCTGGAAATTTGAATTCTGATTTTAATATTGGGGAGGTAGGATTCATTACATGCAAATATTCCCAAATATGGAAAGATATTCAAAAGTTGATGGACAGCCATGACTATGACAGATTTCCACTACAGCCAGGGTGTAGTTAATGCTGCGGCCCCAGGCAGCAGTCTCTTCACAAAAAGAGCCATGACATCAGCAGGTGTTAGTGTTATTCCATGACCTTCAGAATCATCTCAATAAAGCATGACAGCACACATCCCTCAGGACATCCCTCTGATCCCTGTACAATCCAGCAGGATCAGTGCAGCAAAAGCTCACCAACAGCGGTGAACTGATTTGCTCTGTGCCTTCTCCAGCCCCGCATGCCTTCCTGTACTGCAGAGGCTGAAAACCCACATCTCCCAGGCTCCCGGGGATCTAGATTTATTTAGGTTCTGCTGATCTGGATTCATGGAAGACCTTGATTTGTCATTACATAGTGTGGGGAGTTGAACAGGGCATGACACTGGTGCTTGCTTTGAGGAGCTGAAGTCCAGGAGCCAGCAACTGTGGCAGCACCTTCCATAGCTGGCAGCTTCCTTGGTGCCCTGGTTCTGTGGTGTGGTTTGGGGAAGTTTTGCTTAGAGTCTGTTCGTTCAGCCCCTCAAGTTATTCATGAGCTATCTAGATTCCGTAATACAGTGTTTTGTGCTTAAACTAGCTAGAGGCATGTTCTATAATATACAATGAAGATCCCTATCCAATGGATTCTTTCTTTGGAAAGACTGTCCTTTACTTTGTGATTATACTCTTCCTTCTTTGTTGGTGTCGAAGGGTCTATTATCTTATGAACATATAATGCTAGAGATGACAGTTCTATTCAAATGTGGGGTTCTATAATGTACAATGAAGATCCCTATCCAATGCACTCAGGGTTCTTGGATTCTTTCTTTGGAAAGACTGTCCCTTATTCTGTGATTATATTCTTCCTTCTTTGTTGGTGTCAAAGGGTCTATTATCTTATAAACATATAATGCTAGAGATGACAGTTCTATTCAAATGTTTTTATGGGATAAAATAAAAAGTTAGTAATCCCGTGTTGACTTTCTCCTTCCCAAATTAAAAACCAAAACCAATGATTGGTCTTTGAAATATAAAACCTGGGAATACTCTTTTATGAGACCTGCTTTCCTTACTCATCCTTTATAAAGCCTTACACAAGTGTGTTTATTCATCTATGCAGCATCTATTTGGATACCTATTATGTGCTTAGAATCATGGTGTCCCCTCATTTATTTTCTTATCTTTAAATCATCTTTCTCATGCTGTCTTCTTGCCTATGCTAGTTTCTTGTTGGTGGGGATGTTATGGCTCCTGGCCAACAAAAAACTAACATCAATACTAGCTGGTTAGTGTCAGAAAGACATTAGCCCAAGGACAGGAATATGCTTTATATTAGCTAGCAGCCTTCAGGTGGGAATAGATTTGTTTTTCAAACAAACTAGGAAAGATGCAGTGAGAAAATTAAGAATAATATTTAGGAAATGCTGAAGTAGTTGAAGATGG